GAACTTTGCGGGTGCCACGGTGTGTGGAACTCCCACTTGGTTCCAAAAAGCTCCGTTGTTTCTTTGATTATTTTAGAGGTAAAGTGTGGTCCCCTGTCTGAGTCCACCACTGCCACAATACCGTACCGCGGAATAATTTCTTCTAATAAAATTTTAATCACAGTTTTGGCGGTACACCTTGCTACTGGAAAGGCTTCTACATAGTGGGTGAGATGATCCACTAACACCAGTAGGTGGCGGTATCTCCCTACTTTAGGTAACTCAGTAAAATCTGCCTGTACCTTTTCAAATGGTCTCTTCGCCAACTCCCGTCCCCCTTGCACCCGCTCTCTCAATTGCCTTCTATTTACCTTCTGACAGGTTAAACACCCTTCAAGAGTTCTTTTTGCGATTCCATAAGATCCCACACAGACAAATTTGTTTTCAAATTGGTCCACTAAAGCCTGTGTACCCCAATGCGTTTGCTCATGTAATCTTTTCATAATCTTCTGGGCTAGACCTTTCGGGAGAACTTCCCGTCCATCTGGTAATAACCACTTATTATTTTTTTCTTTTGCTCCAGACTGTCGTAGTTTCTCTTTTTCTTGTTCACTGAAGCTTTTCAGAATGTCTATGTCCCTCTGTTCTGAACTAGTTATCACTAATAAAGCTGCCCTCTTTGCTTCCTCATCTGCTAAATTATTACCCCTTACTGTAACCTTTAGTCCTTTTTGATGTCCCTTAATGTATACAACTGCAATCTGTTTTGGTTTTCTCAGTGCCTTTAAAATTTCTCGAATCAAAGTTTCATGAATAAGTTCCTTACCTTGAGTATTCATTAATCCTCTTTCTTCCCATATTTTGCCGAAAGTATGAACTACCCCAAACGCATATTTAGAATCTGTGAATATAGTGCCTGCTTTTCCATCTAATAGCCGTAAAGCTCTCAACAGTGCATATAACTCACAAGCCTGGGCTGACCACGTCTTGTCTAAAGGCCCAGACTCTTTAACCTGAAGAGTCCTTCCATCAATCACTGCATATCCTGACTTTCGGTTCCCATCAATTACCCTAGATGAACCATCTATGTATAATTTCTCTCCCCCATTCAGTTCTTCCTCTTCTAAATCTTCCCTAATTTTTGTCTGAAAATTTATTACTTGTAGGCAATCATGTACCAGGTCTCCTTTGGGCTCCCCATATAAGAAATGAGCTGGATTTTGTAGATTTGTCACTTCTAGTTCTAATTTAGGTGAATGTAATAGAATGCTTTCATATTTTAACAACCGGCTATCTGTCAACCATTTCTCAGCTCTCTGCTGCAATACTCCCCTTATATTGTGAGGGGTAAAAACTCTCAATTCTCCCCCAAAAGTCACTTTTGTAGCTTCTTCAACTAACAAAGCCGTAGCCACAATAGCCTGCAAGCAAGTTGGCCACCCCCTGCTGACAGGGTCCAATAATTTTGAATAATATCCAACTGGTTTTCTCTGCCCAGCCCAAGTCTGAGTTAGGACTCCATATGCCGTACCATTTTCAGTGTTCACAAACAAATAAAAAGGTTTTCGATTATCTGGTAAACTTAACACAGGTGCATTTACCAAATCTTCCTTCAATTTTTCTAATTGTTCGTCGTCTTTGTCACTCCACTTTACTAGCCCGTCTGTTGCCAATTTCTCATATAGGAACTTAACCTTATTGCTATAATTTTCAATCCATTGTCGACAGTACCCGAATAATCCCAAAAGCTGTCTAATCTGTCTTTTTGTTTTGGGCGTAGACAGTGACAAAATTCCATTCACTCGATCAGGATCTAATCTTTTATGTCCCTTACTCAGCCAGTGTCCCAAATATTTAACTTCTTCCTCTGTAAATTGCAGCTTAGACTTTGATACTTTTAACCCTTTTAGACTCAGAAAATTTAAGAGCCTAATACTTTCATCCCTAACAGCTTCTGACTTCTCCCCAGCAATTAACAAATCATCTACATATTGGATTAAGACGGTGCCCTCACGGGGTTCAAAGGTTTCTAATAAATGCTCCAAGGCTTGCCCAAATAAATTAGGGGACTCTGTAAATCCCTGGGGTAGGACAGTCCACCTAAACTGCTGTTTCCTATGAGAATCAGGGTCCTCCCATTCAAAGGCAAAATAATCCCTACTGCTTTCCTCGAGAGGACATGCCCAAAAGGCATCCTTCAAATCAATGACGCTATACCATTTGTGTTCAGGGGAAAGTTGGTTTAATAAAGTGTATGGATTAGCCACCACTGGAAACCGGGTGACTGTTCGTTTATTCACCTCTCTTAAGTCCTGCACCAGTCGGTAGAACCCGTCAGATTTCTTTACTGGCAAAATAGGGGTGTTATGAGGTGACATACATGGTTCTAACAGTCCCTGCGTTAAGAGTCGTTCGATAATGGGCTTAAGTGCGACTCTTCCTTCATGAGGGATAGGATATTGCTTTACCCTTATTGGCTCCTCTGGATTTCTGATGGAAACTCCAAACGGTTTTATATCTAACTTTCCTACAGATTCAGGGGTATACCACACCTCAGGATTTATCCTCTTTTCATCCTCTGCCGTAAGGGAGTATATTTTAGCCTGTATTTCCTGCTCCTTCACTTCCAGATTAATCCCCAGTTCTATTATTAAATCTCTCCCTAATAAATTATATTCAGCTTCAGGGACTAACAAAAATGTCCCCAATGCATATTTATTTTGGGCTTCTATTTCCACATCTTTAATAAGGGGTACTTTAAAAGGTTCCCCTTTAGCCCCCACTACTAGGACTGTATCTGGGGAGGTCATACAGCCCCAAGGTAGTTTTTGTACAGTTGATTTTTCTGCTCCTGAGTCCACTAAAAACTCAAATTCTTGATGCTGAGGACCCAATTTTAATTTTATCAAGGGCTCTGTTTTCTTTTGAGTCCCCAGCTGGTAAAGCCCCTGACCCCTTCAATCTTCCTGATAGATTCGTTCATCCTGTAGTCTTTTTCTGCAATTTCTCTTCAAATGTCCCCTCTGTCCACAATAATAACATTCTACATCACTTAATTCTGACCGACCACATTCCCTGGGTAGTTCATGTTTAACAAACCCACGAGGGATCCTTCGTTTTTGATTTCTGTCTCCCCTCTGTCCTTCTCGTATAGCTGCCACTAAAACCTTGGTCTGTCTTTTTTGCATTTCTACCTGCTTCTTCTGCATTTCCTCCTGCCTTTTCTGTAATTCTTCCTGCTTCTCCTCCTGTCTCCTTTGCATTTCCTCTTCTCTCTTTTGCCTTTCTTCTTCTCTTTCCTCATCCCTTCTCACATATACCCTCTGAGCTTCCCTTAACAACACATCCAATGTCTTAGCTTGCCATTCTTCATCTTTCTCCAACTTTTTCCGAATGTCCTCCCATGCTCCCTGCACAAATCGCATCTTAAACACAGCTCCCCCCATTATATCCCCCTGCGGATCCATTCCAGAATAAAGTTGAAAACTTTTCCTTAATCTTTCCAGCCACTCAGTAGGTGATTCATCTTTTCTCTGGTATTCTTTAAAAACTCTGTCAATATTTTGTCCCCTCGGGACTGCTTCTCTTATACCCTGAACTATAATCGTCCTTAAATCAGCCATGTGAGCTCTATGGGCCGGCTCCTGGTTATTCCAATCAGGTTTCTGAAGAGGCCACTTGGTGTCAGCAGCCGGCCCCTGCTGGTGTCTCTGATCCCACTGCCTCATTCCTGCAGTTCTGATCATGCCCCGTTCCTCCACCGTAAATAATATTCCCAAAATTGCTTGCATTTCTTCCCACGTATAAATATTCGGCCCTAAAAACTGATCAAATCTTTCAGACACTCCCATAGGGTCCTCTAGCAACTTCCCCATCTCCTTCTTAAATTCTCTTACATCCCCTGAATTTAAGGGGACAGAGACAAACCCTAACCTAGCATCTTGTCCCCCCATTGCAATCTCCCTTAGAGGATATAGCTCAGTTCCCGTTTTTTGTTTTGCCTTACTCTGGCTCCTCGTTACTCTTCTGCTGTCAGCAGGTGAGGGAGATGGAAAGTTCTCAGATAGAACAAGTTCTGGTTCAGGTGGGGCAGAGGGCTGAAATGCTGGTGCTGGAATGGGTGCAGGTTGTGGAGGGGGTGGGATATATAGTGGAGGGTGCCTCTGGTAATCCTCCAAATCACAGTTATTCTTTTTCTGTTTTTTGTTTCTTAAGGAAACAAATAATGCCTAGTGTCTGGCCTCATCCATAAACTAGCATACTCGCTTTCTTCTGCACAAAACAGCTCTTTACTATTCACGTACAAATTTAGAGCCTGACATATCCAGTCCTCAAATGAACCATATACCGGCCAATACACACGATCCTGCCTTATTCGCTTCCCCCCCCATACTTCCATACAATAATGCACCATCTTTTCTCTCAATTTTCCTCTTCTGGTAGGGTACTCATCCCAATACCTAATCATAATTCCTAAAGGACTATCTGGAGGTATGGTTGGTAACCGTACTACTAACTTATTCTCGGGCTCTCTCCTCTCCTGCACGGTATCTTGTAACTTCCCCTTATGATCACTTATTCCACCCCCCTCCCTGGGGTTTTCCTCAGTCTTAGTATTGTCCTGACTCGTTTTACAGCCACCCATGGGAGCAGAAGATTTACTTTTCTTCTGTCCCATCTTCCGAAGTACCTTCACACACTCACACACACAATTCAATCGCTTCCCTCCGTTCGTGACTTGCCCCCTCTCGGGGTACAAGAACTGCACTATAGGAGGTCCCTCTCGCGTCGTCCTACTGGACGTCTCACTCGTTTGTACTTCGGGATCCCCTCCCCAACCGAGAAAGGGGTTCGCAAATACTTACCTCTCCTGGGTAAGCCGTCGTCCAGCTCCTCACTGAACGGTCCCTTCCCCAACCAGGCGGCACCTTGAAACCCTTACTCCTTCCTGGAGTAAGTCTCCGTTTGGACTCCTGCCAAACAGACCCCTTCCCAAATGAAGAGGATTTACCACTCACTTTTCTCCTCAGTGAGCCTTCGCCTGGACTTTTTGCGCGCAAAGATTACGGGGAAACTGCAGTGATTTTTTGCCAATTTGCCTTCTCTAAATCTTTTCGGTCGGAAATCCCAGGGTCTGAGCCGCAGGACTCCCCCGGGACCGTCCAAACGGGGACGGCGGCGCCTACCCCAGGAGGATCCTGCTGCCCAAAAACTCTGATCCGAGTCACGGCACCAAATTGTTATCAGTAACAAGAGCAAAACTCTTTTAAAGTTTTACAAAAGTTTATTTAAGGCAGATGGGCAAACAGCGCTGGGCGGATGGGGTTTTGCTTCCCCATATATTCCGCAAAATTCAATAAGTTTCAGTTTTTCTTTTTATAGCCCCAAATCCCCTCCCAGATTTCTAGTTACTAGTTCATTCTGCGCATGTTCTGTCTTGGTTACCAGGGAATCTCTTCCCTGTTTCTTGTCTTCCTTATCAGTCTCTCCTGGCGTCTTCTTTCTTGACAAGTCTGGCCGCCTCCTTCCTCTTATCAGATTGTGTCGGCTAAGGGTGTTTGGATTGTTAGAGCCCCTTTGCTTTATGACTTCCTTGACAGACCTGCTGCAGTTGCTGGGAAGAATATTTTTTCCTACACAGATAGCTAACATCTAGAGGTTATATAGTAGAATATAATTTTTCATGATAACATAATATCACAGTTCACAATTACAGTATTACAAGTATAATTTGATAAGCAAATTATCTCTTTTTGTCTTTATTGACTATCACACTGTCCCACCGCTGTGGCCCTCCCCCCGCCCGCTGGACTGGCTCACACGAAAAGGCGGGGGGGGGGGAGGAAGAAGAGCTAATTGTTTTGGCCCGTGTGCTCTGGGCCTGTTGCAGGCTCGCAGCCCATGAACATTCCTGCCCTCTGTGCCCCGATTCAGTTCGAGGGGCTGTGGCAAAACCACTGTTTTGCTTTCAATGTGACCGAACAATGTATCAGAAGTTGACTGTTTGCAGAAAGTCTTCTTTCAGCAGATAGACTTGGAAACTGTGCCACCAGAACTGAGACTGAAAATGGAAACAACTTTTATGCAGAAGCAAACGAATAATGGAACATACCTTAACAACTGCAAGTCAGACACATCAAGACAAAAGGGTTTGGACTGTAACGAGAATTCCTAAGATAGGTAAAAGCTTCTGTCACGGTTAAGAACTGTTTTAAGATCAGCCCATGATCTCCAGAGGTGGTAATATAAGAATCAGACTGCAATTTGAATAATACTGTCAGAACACCAGACAGTGCCATGACTATTGTATTTGGGTTTATCTTCTATCCTATGTTGCTGTTAGGCTTCTCTTACTATTAGTTTAATTAAAGTAGAATTGAAAGCTTATATTACTTTTGCTATACTGATTGCTTTAAAGTTTGCAATGTTCATATTTGTATATGTTCCGTTCGAACAGTTTAACAACATTTTGCGAACCGCTTGGAATATCTGTGTCTCTGTGGCTACTGCATCTTGTGAAAGGGATGGTTTAGTGGGGAAATCCATATAGGATTTCATGTGATTGTGAGATCAAATTTATCTACCTTATGCATCTAAAATGCTTTGTCATCCAGTGTCATCTAGGAGTGTGTGAACGCTGAGTTTCACAGAAGAGTCCTGTGTTAGGACGGAAAGGGGGGTGAGAAGGTGGCTGCAGCACTGCAACAGCACTGGTTCTGTGGACCTTCCCATGGTGCCCTGAGACCTGACTTGCATCTTGCCTGCAATCTTTGAGACAAACTGGTTTCAAACCCCATCATTAGTGGGATAATTTGTTTAGATTGCTGAAATGGTTTGCTTAGATTGCTGCCTAGCTTTATTGTAATACAGCTGTTCTCTTGGTATCCACGTAGACATACAGGCACATATACATGAGTGCACCTAACCCAATACATGAGGATGCTTTTATCCATGGAGGCAAAAGGTACCTGCACTAGCACTTCATGAAGTAAAGATGACTGACTGCAGTCTGGGGCAGACTGTGGCAGGATGGCCTGTCCCCCGATAAGGCCTGGAATCTGTCCAGAGAGTGCAAGCTCTCTGCAATGAACTACTGGCACTGCCAGGGTGCTGTCTGGTGTTGCATTCAGACACAGCCTGCTTCTGGTAAGCTCCTAACTGGCCTATAGATCTATGACTGGCAGTTAATCACTGTATGTTATAAAAGCTCGAGTTCCTCTCACACAGTCAAGATGCAGGAATTCCAAGATTTGGGGTTTCTGTGAGATTGTCATTGGACGGAGAGTCACACTTCATCAACTCACAAAGCACAAACAAACAGGGTTTGTCAAGAAACATCTATGATGTCAGTTCAGGTCCTGCATATGGCCTTTTTAAAAGATCCACATACAATCCAAGGTGGAAAAACAACATTATCCCTACTCATATAAGGGAAGGTTAATCTGCAAAATAGTTGAATGGTTTAGACTCTGCTTTGCAGAAACTGCAGGGAATCATTGTGTCATCTAGACCTATGGGACTGGACACTTCTGTTCATCTGTTCCAGCTCACAAACTGAGCCTATGCTAAACAGTGGGACTGAAACCCCTGCAAGTCAAATGGAAAGAACTGTTTCTAGTTCTGCTGACCATCTCCGTTGTGGTCAGAGCTGTTGGCAAAGAACCCTGAATTTGCTACCCAGAGGGAAGAAAGCCTCTGTTACAAACTCTTAAAATGATGTTTACACTATTTTTCTGTGTGTATTGTCTAATACCACCAATAACTATGGATCAGGTTTAAAACCAAAATTTGCATTTGATTTTAGTAAAAATGCATCCAATATTTTTCATGAAAGTGAGTGCTGGATTTGCACTATGGATTCGGCTGAAATTTGACAACAAGTTTAAATTCTCCACTGGATGATTCCTGATATTGTCTCATTAGGTTTACGGAGATATCATCTATAAACTTACTTCATAGTTACCAACTGGATCTGGATAAAACAACTGTTTCTATTAGTGATATACATAGTTAGTGTTTGTGTAATAGCTCATTACATGACCTGATGCTGTAGGTGTTGGTCATCCCTTTGGTATAATGCTAGGTATAAGTGGTAGAGATTGGACAAGATTGAGTTTTGTCCATCCCTAAAGGGGGGACTGATGCCTCAGAGCTTTTTGGATTTTTTAACTTTTGTAGATTTTAGAAGTAGTTGTGTAGTAAATGTAGATTTTAATGTAGCTGTATTATATCCCTTACTCTGAAGCATAATAGTTACACACACCCAACCTTATTACCCCATTTCATATCAATCCCTCTAAATTCTGTTAGCGTGTTTAGTCTTATTTTCAAGGTACAATTGTAGAAAAGCACTCTAGGCCTGGACCAGAAGGTATCACACAGAGCGACCTTCAAGCCCAGAACTTTGGAGGAGCTCCAAGGACTATACATGCTGCAAAGAAGAAGAAGATGAGGAAGAAGGGGTCCCAAACACCCCCAGACCCAATACCCCAAGGGGCGTGTCGGGGGGCAGAACTGGGAGTAGACAGATCTGGGACTGGATGGACCTTATTATAAAATCATAGAGCCACTGTATGGGCACCTACGCATTATGTGTATTCCCTGGGCCTGTAGGCTGATTAAAGGACCTACTCTCTTTATCTTATCTTGGCCTGGAGTCTTTTTCTCTGCAGTCTCTCTTTAGGCAACACCACTGATCTGAATGGGACAAGGTGGGTGTAATATGAGGAAAAGTTAAGGAAATGCTGGATTGAGAAAGACTTTGGCATAATTCAGTGGAATTACTGATGAGTTCCTAAAGAAAAAATAAAAAACTGGGATTAGCCTGAAAAAAATATTTGCACTATATAAACATTTCACAGTCCTATCTATATTGCCTTAAAGTACTTAACCTAACCAAAAAGTTGTTTTGTAAAATGCTCACATTCATCTATGTTTCCAGAACTCATCGATTCTTAGTAAAAAATGTTTGCCTCTGAAAATAAAATTTTGACATCTTGTATATTTTTAATCTTTCTGATTTTTTGAATATGTTTTTTAATTTAGTAAGCCTGTTCTGGTTTATCCAGTTGCTTGTGTGGGGTATTAACTGCAGTTTGTAAGGTAGGTTTTTACAGAACTCAGGTTGGATGTCAAATTCTATTTAGGTCTTCAAAAGAGTCAGGCTTCTTCAGAGCTTGGATCCAATCCCTGAGAAAAGAACACTCTTACTTACGCTCTTAACTTGTGATTAAAGTGTGTACATGGGTGTCACAGATGTTCTACCAAAAAAAAAAAATCTTTACTTAATTCAACTTCTGCTTCCATTTTCAACAAATGACACATGCAGTAAAGGACAATTAGAACCTCTGTTAAAATGTTGCAACAAATGATTAATTACTGCAGGTAAGAAAACATAATCTTATTACTTCTCTCTGTTAAAAGATTGCTGCATTCTTAACTTTCTGATTCCTGCTTGTACTGACTTGTCGCCCTTTTGCCAGTGGAGATTATGCTCTGTTCATAAGAACTGCAACACAGTACACAGGCTAGGGTATGTGAACTGTTTTTTTACCATCAGCAATAACTACCAGTTGTGCTTCATATATTAAGAACTGTCAAAGAAGTACCAAATTAAAAAAAACAAGGAGTAACACAAGTCAGTCTATTTTATAGGCCCAGTTTTGTACTTGCAGTAGATTACACAAATGGTCCACTCACACTTTTCCTCACAGCTAACTGCTAGCAGAAAGTTGAGGACGTGGTTCTGATTTGAATAATGAATTTTGTCAGCTTGTATTACCAGTCCTTTGTTTTCATTTTGCCAAAAAAAATAAATTGTTGAGAACCTTATTCTTAAGTTCATTGCATCAATTCACCTCTTGTGAAAGCCATTTTATGTACAGAACTTATTGTAAGTGGAATACAACTATTTCCCAGATAACTGTTTGCAGTTCATGCTTTTTACTATGATCTTATGTGAACCATGCATTCTTCATCCTGTGTCAATGATTAAACCAAGTCATTTTTCTCTGCAATTTTTCCCATGGTGCTAAGTTTTCTGTTGTCAGTTCTGTTACCTCCCTGAAAGAGTATTTATGCCAATTAGCCAAACAAATGGAAAGGCTGCTACATTGCTAGCCAAGACTCTCAACGGTACTTCAGTGGGCCCTGAAGTGTACTTCTTATGGTGTTTCTCCCACCTATGGACACGTTTGAAATCAATTTTCTGGAGTAATATAGTTACATTGCACAGATTTGCTCACCATATGGGCAATCATACTTCTTGATGAAAAATGGTATACGCTAGCTATATAATCAAAAGGAAGCTATATGGATTCCAAGGGGTAAGGAAATTTTAGCATTTGATTTGACAGAACCACATATTCATCACCCTCAGAGATTTGTGACCTGCCAGTGTGAAGTTGCTTCCGTACATAAATCCATAAATAATTATTTAAACTGCTTATGACCTCTCTCTGCCAATCTTCCTTCCCTTGTCCTCTAATTCCTGCCAGAGTTACCTGACTTGCTAATGAAGACAAAAATATATTCATACATCTGTCGTAACTATTGCCACATTTAAAGGCTCCTGATTACCTTCTAGTGCTTCCTCCCAGGTTTGAAATTTCTTAGACATGGTATACACACCATATTTTATTAACTGCTACAGTCCTTGGGATTTCCTTCCCTCTGGTATAAGTTCCTGCCACGGTCAGTAATCTCGCCACATGCAAGCTTATTCATATACTTAGCCTATGGAATGTGGTTTCTATCAGAGAAAAATGCAATTATATAGCTGTAACTATCTATGCTCTTGTTAGAGTAGGTAACAAACTACTCTAGCGCTTACTAACCTGGTGTAAGAAAGACATTGAGAAAATAAGGATAGTCTTCTCCTGAGGTCAAAAAATTAATATCACCATTAACACAGGTGTCCATCCATCTGTGTAAAGGGACTACTGAAATGGTCAGTCTCCTGAAGATAATCTCAAAAAATTTCTTCTGCTTGAAGAGTGATCTTCTCAGACAGTGGAGACAGAAAGGAAAAGGAAGAAAAGGAAGAAGTCATCCTGTACCTAATTTTAATATAACCATTTTTTTAATAAAAGGAATTTAAAATATCAATATTATCTTGACCAATAACTGCTCAAGTCATAGCAAGTGGATTTGAAGAATGCAACATTTCACTTTTGCCCACAGCAAAATAGTCAAAAGGCTAGGCTCTTCAGACAGACCTTAAAAATAATGTTTTCGATAATATAATTTTAACAGGTATAAACATGACCTTAAGTAAGCATTAGTGAGAACTGACTACTACGCAGAATATATACATAGCAATTTTTTTCTTTTTTAATGACTGAATCTGATTTGAGACTTCAAAGTCAGTGTGAGAAAGAACCTTTCCCTTCTAAGGAATTAATACAACAGGTAAAATGTATTCATGATTACAGCTCATGCCAACTGTTAGCTCCAAAATTTCAGAATATTTTTTTCCTATCAGAAAAAAAAAACAAAACATGATCATTTGAAATTTAAATAGACCAGATTCAGATTCAGATTTCTGTGATGGTTACAAAACAGCTCAGTGCCCTCTGCACCAGCCTGTGGCCTCATAAGCTGCCACCAGGCCACAGATTTAGAGTGGTTAATCGCAAAGATGCCAGAAGTTAACCTACATGTGCTAAATTAGGAAGGCAATATTCCTAAGCTTACAGTATGCTGAAGAGAGCAAAATAGGCACTTTCAGAAAGCAATTCACGTGTTCCATAAGGTGCATAAATCCACGTGCTTCTGACATAACAGAGAGCCTAGAAAATTCTTTCCCTGTTTGAGAATTAACCAAAATGAATGACCTTTCCATCACAGCTTCCTTCTTTAGCAACAAAGAACCATACCATAAGACTTTGCAATAGCAGTTATCAGTGACAGCTTACAAATGAACAGGAGAAAGAGATTTCAAATTCCTCACTGTGCACATCTTTCTCATCCCTCTGGCTACTCTGTAATGGGTGCTCTTCTTTCTCTTACTATGAAATAAGAGAACCATTCCAGACGTGGAAAACCCTCAGAATAAAAGTATTGGCAAACCAAAGTTTTTAAATTTATATAAAATGTTTTTGACAAACAGACATTAGGTAAAAATTGAAAATATGATACATAGGAACCTCTGGTTAACTCATTTTTTGTGAAGAACATGTAAATAAAAATGCATTTTGTTTAACTGATAAGATCTTACATACAAAGTAATCTCTCATCCACTTATAATCAATGTTAGGCATTTATATCAACTTTTTAATAAGAGTGGAAAATCCATTTGAACAAAGAAAATCTATCGCATAAGGACAATTAAGACTAAAATCCATACTGGCCTTACACAGAACACGATGCTAATGATTGTTTTAAGAAAATATTTTTTCCTGTGAAATGAAGAAAATCATATCTGTGTTTATGTTATAAGTCATAAGGCAGTATTGATTAAATTAATGACTTCTATTCCTTTTGAAATGTGTTTTCCTCTAAAAATGCATATGCACACGCACACTCCTTGGGGCTTAACTTAATCAGTACTTCATCTGAGTATCACTGAATGGTAACCACAAGATTGATAAGAAAGCAAACCAAAGTAATGTCTTCAGTTATGTGTTCATAATAAATAGAAGAAGAAGAGTAAATATAAGATATGAATAATGGAAAAAAACCCCTTTCTATGCCCTCTTGCCCAGCATCACATTTAGAGTCTCCAATTTTCCTATTATCTAGATTCTACATAAACTTTAAACATTTTACTGTCAAGAATTTAAAGTGTAGTATACATTATGCATCTATAAGTGCAGAGACAAGCAGTATATTTTTCTGTAAAATGAAAATACCCTTTCATTGAGGACAGAGAGTGGTAACACCCTTCTACTGACGTCAGTAAAAAGGCAAAGTTAAATCATTAACAGACGTTAAAAATCAATTTGGCTACTTCTGGCAGGTGAAGTCAGATATTTTATTATAAAAATGATAAATCTTCTGGCTCTTTCTTTCAATAAATGGATTTTAGGAAATAAGGAGTGATAAGGGAATTTTATGAAGTATAAACAGTATATATCATAAATAATAACACATGACCCTAGAGCAAATGCTCTTGTGATTGATCACAGCAGCTGAATCCCTCAAGTGGCTTACAGCATAGTCTTATTGGGATCATCTATTGTACGATCCATATGTTAACTAGATAACTGCCTAGTGTGGAAAATTTATAAAGTTAAGGCTAATGGAACCAGTCTTGTTTGCTGGATTTATTTCTCACTGCAGAGATGACATAAATGGATAGCAGCACATCGCATGTCTTCGAGGGAGCTAACCCCACCTAATTCAGATATGTGACTCTCAAAAAGCAAAGCATAGCTCTAATTTCACCTTCAGAATGCAATGGGGAGAAATACAAGCCAGAAAGCACACTTTGTCTGCACCTGCCAGTTTGTACCTGTATCAGCACAGTTCCCAGAAGTGAACACTGCCACGTTTCAGAGCACAGAGATGCAGTGGCTAACACCAGACAATACTGATTCAACGCCACTCCAATGAGTGAACGGTCTCAACAAGAGTTACTGTTCTCGTGTCCCAAAACAGTTTGCACAGCCCGTGTAATTCAAGCAATGATGCAAAAGCACAGTGCCAGATGCCCATGTGGACATTTCAATAAAAAGTAAACTTACAAGATCCTCCCAGCTATCATAGCAGTTATTTCTACGCAAACCTGTTATGGGAGAAACCTAGTTTCAACTCCCTGTGGCTAAGCCAGCACTTGTTTTCACTTTTCAACAGTAAATTTATGGATCTTGACTCTAATGACATTTGTTTTAAAGAGGAAAAGGAAAAAAAACCTGGTCCCTAATGTTCCCAAAGGCTGAAAAGCAAAACCAGGAATGCTCATGAGAAAATTGAAAGCAGATTGCTGTGTTGGCTCAACTGCCATGGATTTTGGAGCTGGTAGGCCCTGCTCTTACCAGGTGTTACTACAGAAACTACTCTAAACATAGCTTGCTACTAGCTCAGTAGTAGCTTACTGGTAATTAGGTTTGAAAAAACAGGAAGAAAGTGTTGGCTTGATACGCTAGCACAGAAAATGACAGTGTGACCTCCTTGTTGACCTTCCATCATTAGCAAGACTGCATATCATCACATAAGAAGAAACTGTTCATTCAAGTGGTTTGAGATCTCCAGACATACCTTATCTGGGAAGCATCACCTGTTTTAATACACAGAGTAGTGAATGAAATAAGCTACTCCAGCAACAGACAATCTATGCTGCATTAATGGACAAACTGTGAATTTTGGATGGACGAAACAATATTTTTTTCCTTTTCATATTTTAGCACATTACTATTTTCCTTTATAAGCTTTCTAGTTGTGTTGGTGCCAAATATGTTATGAGGTAGTATTTGCTCCAGACAAGTCTTCAATTCAATCATCTGTCAAAAAAAAAAGTCAAATAATGGTGCTGCTTCCACCCCTGATCCTTGAACAAATCTACTGTATCTTTATGGCCCCCCCTACATTTGCTTGCACTGGAAAAGCAATGGAGGAGATCACATTGAAAAGTTTTCTATCCATCTTTGTCAAGACACAGACTTGAACACAAAACTGAAGATATTAAAATAGCTCATCTTCACCATTTTATCTAAGCCAAAGACATTCCTCATCAAGCTATCTTACAGTTGACTGAACTCTCCACAAATACATGGAAGGAATTTACATATGGTCAGTTGACACTACCCCTCTCTCAACTCTCCTTATGTTCAGATGGATAGTGACTTTCAACTGATGTCTGGCAATTTTTAACCATTATTCCTTCCTCCTGCCAACTCCAGTCACATATTTGCATTGTACAAAAAAATTTAATTTTTTTTCTATTTTGCGTTTAGAATCACAGAATCACAGAATCATGGAATCAATCACAGAATTACAGAATCAGAGAATAGTCTGGATTGGCCTCTTTTAGGTACTGTAAAGGTGCTATAAGGTCTCCACAGAGCCTTCTCTTCTGCCAGCTGAACAGCCACAACCCTCTCAGTCTGTTTTCACAGGACAAGTGCTCCAGCTCTCTGGCCGTGTTTGTTGCCATCTCTCTAACAGGTCCATGTCTTTCTCATGCTGAGGGCCCCAGAGCTGGATACAGTATTTCATGTGGGGTCTCACAGCAGTGGAGTAGAAGGGGGAAAATCACGTCCCTTTACCTGCTGGCCACACTTCTTTTGATCCAGCCCAGGATACAATTGGTTTTCTGGGCTGCAAGCACACATTGCCTGGTCACATCTAGTTTTTCACCCATCAGCACTCCCAAGTCCTTCTCCACAGGGCTGTTCTCAATCCCTTCATTCCGCAGACAGCATTAAGTTCACATGAAGATCAGGAGGGCCTTTCATGTTCTTCAAAAGTAGTAATGCAGAGCACAGGCAGATCAAATATAGGATGATATAGTATTACAAGAACTATCCTATCCACCATTATTTTAGCAGTCTTATCCTTTTGGGAATATAAGAGATATGAAAATTAAATAACCTTCATACACCTGTTTATTGATTGTCTCTGTAATGTCTCAGAGAATAAAATATCAGAAGCACATATTGTAACTGCCACACTGATTAAAAGCACTGTTTACCACTTTTCAAAGAAATCTGTATTTTCGTAGTCCATAAGTCTTCCATAGAAATGACTGCTGATCACCATATTATTAAATGACATTAAAATGAGTATTCATAGAGCGTTAAACAACTTTGACACTTAGAAATTATATTTCCCCCAGCTAGAGGCAAGAAACCAAAAGTTTTATCTAAAACTTACTAAGAAAAATGCTTATCCTCTTTTATAACCAAGCTTTATTTTGAATATCCTTCAATATCAAGCTATTTTTCATAGACATAAAATGAGTAGTACCATCTAAGTTTGCACATCATATATATACATTTATAGAAAAAAGGATTCTTAAGACTCACACTGCCTGTATCAGAATTTTTAAACACACACACATATATAAGTATAAATAT